GCTCCTCACACTCACACTCCTCATGCTACTAACACTCACACTCCTCAATGCTCCTCGCACTCTCACTCACACTCACACCCCTCACACTCATACTCCTCATGCTCCTCACACTCACACACCACACAGCGAGCGCCTGCCTTCCTCCCAGTCCCACCCTCATCTGTGGAAGGTGCATCCTCTCCCCAATCCATGTCACCTGATGGACACCCTGAGGTCTTTGGGCCTCTCCCTCCAGCCCTTTCTCCCAGGCCAATGTCTGGGCTCCTCCGCACCCACCGCTCCCCTCCAAAATTGCAGTTTGCAGCACCCCACCTCCGCCCACCCTCCTCTCTTCCCAGCTCACTCCCTTCAGCACCCATGCCCCTCGACCTGCACCTTTGCCCTCCTCCAGCCCTTCCCCAGGCGCTCACTTCTCTCCCTGCCATTTTGAATTGGCGGCCACAGGGTGAAGTGGCTGTGGGCCCTCAAGGCCACTGTTACAGCTCCTGCTCCAACCCTCGCTAGCAGGCCATCCAAGTGCCCCAGCACCCATGGCCCTCACACCCTTCACAAACAGCCCAGGGCGCCCTGGGACCCACGTCTGCCCAGTAAGATGTGAGCGGGGTCAGCAGGTGGGGCGTCCAGAGTGTGGCTCGCTGTTTGCTGCCTGCCCATCCTGTACCCACCTACAAAGGACAGCAGACCACACATACAGACAGGCCTTCACTGCTCATCACTGGTCAGTTGCAGGGAGAGGCAACCAGGGACCCAGAACCAACATTCCCAGATCTGGCTCAAAACAATATCCCAGAAATTTATTTAAATTCCCAGGGGAAAAAAACCCAGAGCAGTCAATAGCAAATATACTTTATGTGAGTCACTAGACTTTGAAACAAGCAGATGGGCACTTAAGCAAGGAATCCAGCTCATTTATAAGATTATAATGAATCTGGTCTGATTCTAAAAACAAAAACAAAACCTTTACCAACGTCTATAAAACAGGGTTGGAGACAAAATGTGATTCATGCCCTGCACAGTGGCATTCAAATATACCACTCATGTGAATACAGGGATTGGCGCCGTGTGCTTCCTACAGAGCCATGGTAGATACACTCACATATATTAATATTTCATTATAAGTTTACCTTTAATAGCCTATGTGTACATATTGAATATTGAACATGGGTGTATATGTGTACATGTGTATATATACATATTCAGTATAATACAAACTATTGGAAATAGAAGTACTTATTTGAATAGAGATACACTTTATGCAACAAAGATAGAAATGAAAATATTCCAACACAAAGACACACCACTTAGGATAAAACTTGGAGCCCAAACTGTGGGGCATATGAGAGTGCCTACAGACAGACGTGAGCTCGAGGCAGATGGTACCTGGGGCTGGGTTATAGGAGCTGGGGTAGAGGCTAAGGGTGCAGGCTAAGGATGGGAGCTAAGGAAGGGGCCTAAGGATGAGGGCTAAGGATGAGGGATGGGGGTTAAGGATGAGGGATGGAAACTAAGGATGAGGGATGGCTAAGGATGGATGAGGGATGGGGGCTAAGGATGAGGGATGGGGGTTAAGGATGAGGGATGGGGGCTAAGAATGAGGGATGGGGCTAAGGATGAGGGATGGGGGCTAAGGATCAGGGATAGGGGCTAAGGATCGGGGATGGGGCCTAAGGATGAGAGATGGGACTTAAATGAGGGATGGGGGCTAAGGATGAGGGATGGGGCTAAGGATGAAGGATGGAGGCTAAGGATGAGGGATGGAGGCTAAGGATGAGGGATGGAGGCTAAGGATGAGGGATGGGGATAAGGATGAGGGATGGGGCTGAAGCTGGAGGCGAGGCCTGGGGCCTGGGGCTGAGCTGGAGGAAAGAAGCCATCAGGGCAGAGTGGGCAACTCCCCTCCCCCGTCATGCACTGGAGGCCTGGGGAGCCCGACAGGTGCTTCCTGAAGGGCCTGGGGAGGCCCTACCCGTTGTTCATGAGAGAGAGAAGAGGCCCCAGAGCAGGGGCCGCAGCAGTAAGAGCCTGCAGAGAGGGCCTGAGGGGCTGAGGAAGCCTCCCGTGCACTGTGAGCTGCCCCTCAGGAGCCCAGGAGGGCAGGACTCCCGCCCCCAAGGATAGCACAGGCTGTAACTCCCCTGTCACTCCCCCAAGGCTCAGAGACCAGAACCCACACCTCAGCCTAGTCCCAGACCCTGCCTGTGCCCCTCGCTGCATCTGCGGCCCCACCCCAAGGGCCCTTCCATCTTTCCAGACCCAGGATCCTGGGACACCGCTCTGCCTGAGTCCTGGGAGTGCTGCCCACAGACCCTGCTCTCCCTGCCCCCGTGGGAGCCCCGTGGTCCTGCTCACCATCCCATGAGCTCCCTAACCTTCTCTCAGCACCAGGCCTCCTGCCCTGCACACCCCAGCCCAACCCAAATCTGTTCACACTGGACCAGGCAGAACCTTCTAGAGCGAGACTTTAAGCAAAGCCCCTGACATGTTCAGCCCCTTCGCTGGACACTCAGGTCACCTGTAAATGCAGTTCATCCAGCCACCTGAGCTCTCCAGGCACAAGGCCAGTCTCTGGGCTTCCACTCGGTGGTTCTTCTGCTTGAAGTGACACACATGTACAGTCACACACCCGCTCATGTACACAGGCACATATGCACACAGGTGTACACACATGTACAGTCACATACCCGCTCATGTACACAGGCACATATGCACACAGGTGTACACACATGTATACTCACATAGCCACTCAGGTACACACACACATATAAATGCAGGTGTACACGCATGTATATTCACATACCCACACATGCACATATACACACACATGTACACTCACATACTCACTCATGTGCACACTCACATGTGTACAGATGCATAGATGTACACACATGCACATTTACATACTCAAGCACAAATGCACACACATGTACACTCACGATCACACACACACACACACACACACACACACATGCACGCATGGGCTTCTCAACACACTGGGCTCTCACCTTCCCCCAACCAGCGGTCACGGCACCAGCGCGCCCTCCCAGACCTCAGGGTTGTGAGGCTGTGAGGCTGTGTCCATGCCCCTGTCTCCCCGCAGCAGAGCCTGCCTCTGAGCACACCTGCAGGCTGGCACCTGGCCCCAGGCAGCCTGTGCCCTACCTGCCCACACCTGGGCCCTCTGAGTCCTGGTACCAGCCCCAGTCTGACAGGAGCTGATGCCATCCTTCCTCCTCTCCCTGTGGCTGGGAGCTGGGGGACAGCAGCCTCCCAGGTGTGGAGGAGGGACCCTCTCCCTGCACTACTTTCCTAAGACCCCTCCCCAAGGACCAGCCGCCCCAGGGGACTGGGCGGGAACCACCTTGTGGGACACTGTGGCTCAGCAGTCACCCCCAGAACCCCGCACCTCTGGGGACAGCGAACAGTTAGAATTACTGAGATGTGACCAGAAAGAGAAAGCAGCCCCTCGGCTGAGACACTGACAGACCCCAGGTGGCCCCCCACAGATCAGCGATGGACGAAAGGTTCCATCAGCCCCCGAGTCCCCCAGTGTGAGGCCTTTCTCCACTGAGAACAAACCAAATGTGTGTGGGGAGGGGGGGCATGAGAGAACCTCAGCACAGCCTTGAATCTGCTCTTATTTCTAAAGAAAAGGGAAAAGCAGGACTGGGTGTTGGGGTCTCCTCTGTTCTATGGCCTCCCACCCCAGCCTGGCCCTCAGGGGGAGACCCACCTCCACCCACCTGCCCCAACCCCAGCCTGGAGGTTTTGGCTAAGCCAGGAACCACAGTGCCAACTGGGGCACAGTGATTGACAACTCTACAAAAACCTGGCAGCTGCCCCAGGGCTCAGGGCCAGGGGCTCTAGGGGCTGGGTAGGAGCACAGATGGGGATGCCGTCCCAGCCAAGGGGCGCAGCTGGGTGCTGGGAGCAGCCCAGGCAGGGGTCGGCAGGGGTGAGCCAGGTGTCAGGAAGGACATCCAACCCAGCCCTGGGGACTGGGGGCAGGAGGGAGCCTGCCGGGGGCACCAGTGGGTGTGTCTGTGAGCAGCGAGCAGCCTTTGCAGCTTCCGGGGCTCCCTGGGGATTTCTGAGGCCTCATCTCGGGGCCCACTCACTGAGGCTTCGAGCACTGGGGCCAGGGCACCCTGGTCACCATCTCCCCAGGTGAGTCTGGTATCTACTGTCCGACCTGGGACGGGGGTCAGGTGTGCCGAAGCCAGGTGTCCTGGTCTCAGACGTGGGACAGGGGGGAGGGGTGCGTTATTGTGAGGCAGGAGGCCACACTACTCGGCCCGTCTCCCTCCTAGCCATGGGTCCATGTGGCCCTGGGCAGGGCAGTAGCCTGGCTGTCCGGGGGCCTGGGCAGGTTTATGTCTGGGGGGGACCAGGAACTGTGTCCCTGTGCGCTGCTCTTGATGTGTGGGGCCCAGGGACCCTGGTCACCGTCTCCTCAGGTAAGCCGGCTTCCTCTCCCCTCTGTCCTGGGGCTGGGAAAGGAATTTCCAGAGATTTTTTTTTTTTTTGCTCTATGTGGGGCCCTGTGGAGTCCACAGGGGACTGCCCCTGAGGCCCCTGGGGTCTCCGCTCTGCAGATGATCTCTCATAGGGGACGGGGCCTTTGCAGGGGAGGCACAGTGGGCTGAGTGTCTGAAGGCGAGGAGACAAAGAGATGGGGTTTTCTGGGGTGGGAGTGCCGGGGGGGGGTGCAGTTTTTGCACACGGCCTAAGGGAGCCCGCAGCAATGTGCTGACTTTGCTTACTGGGGCCAGGGCACCCTGGTCACCGTCTCCTCAGGTAAGCCGGCTTCCTCTCTCCTCCTCTCTCCCAGGGCGGGAAAAGACTTTCCAGAGATTGGTTTTTGTTCTGTGTGGGGCCCGGCGGGGTCCCCAGCGGGCAGCCTCTTGGGGGACAGGGTGGTGGAAGGCAGAGAGGGCTGCGTTCTCGGGATGCGGAGTCCTGAGGAGAGGGGTTTGCTGAGATGGCTGGTGCCCGGCGGGCCAGGTTTTTGTACGTGGCCTAAGGGAGCCCGGGGCAATGTGACTACTTTGACTACTGGGGCCAGGGCACCATGGTCACCGTCTCCTCAGGTGAGTCCTCCCAACCCCTCTCTCCTCTCTCTCCTGGAGGGTTTTTGGTGCTTTTTGGGGAAAATGAGTGTGTTTCTGGGTCTCCGGTCCAGGAGGACAGGAGCAGCCTGGGGACTCGGGAAAGGGCCGGGGGCACCGTGGCTCCCTGGGCGCAGAGGACGATTCAGAGTCTCTCCTCCGGGCTCTGTGGCCGGGGGTCTCTCTGGGTCTTGGCCACCCTTGGCCTCCGGGCCCTGTGGTCCCCTCTGCCCCTGGGCGCAAGCTGCGTTCTCGGGATGCGGAGTCCTGAGGAGAGGGGTTTGCTGAGATGGCTGGTGCCCGGCGGGCCAGGTTTTTGTACGTGGCCTAAGGGAGCCCGGGGCAATGTGACTACTTTGACTACTGGGGCCAGGGCACCCTGGTCACCGTCTCCTCAGGTGAGTCCTCATGCCATCCCACTGCGGCTGCACTTGGGGAGGTTAGGGGTCGGGCCTGGATATCAGAGATGCTGAGGCATTTTGGGGATCAGGAAAGGGAGCCGGGGAGAGGGTTCCCCAAGTGGGGCTGGAGACCGACCTCCCCTCCCCAAGGACAGCGACATGAGACTGCAGGGGCAACATGACAGCCCTGCCCGGCTCCTTGGGCTCTGCCGTGCCCGCTGTGGGCAGGTGGCCGGCTGTGTTGCTTGGACTTCTGAGTCCCAGTCAGGGCTGTCGGCTCATGGCCAGGGGCCCGGGCAGCCTCTGGCGATGCCGGGCCAGGCCCCCCTGTTTTTGTGGGGTGAGGATGGAGATTGCACCATTGTGATTACTACGGTATTGACTACTGGGGCCAGGGGACCCTGGTCACCGTCTCCTCAGGTAAGAACGCTGGCCCTTTTCGGGCCTTTCTTTTCTCCTCCTCTCGGTGGGTCTTTCTGGGCATCAGTGGCTGAGCCTCGGGACGTGTCCCCCAGGCCAAGGGCCTGGGCAGGCTGACCAGGGAGGACAGGGGCCGGGGCGCAGGGACTTCGGAGCCTCTTGATTTTCGGGCGCCTTTTGGAGACTGAAATAACGCAGCTTGTCTGGGAGTCACTGAGCCCCTGAAAGAGGCTGCCGGCCTGAAGGGCCGCGCCGGGGGGAGAGGTCGGACCGGCCGAGGGCCAGCGGGGCCGCGGGACATTTTCGCAGTCAGAATCGAGTGTTTGCAGAACCAGGAGCAGGCGGCTCAGGGAAACACTGCCCTCAGAACGAGGAGTCAAGTCCTGGGCTAGATTTGATTTCTTTTCAAGTCCATTACTTTTCTATAATTTAATTTAAAAATTGCTAGATTGTATTTAGACTTCTGTATTGGCGAGGAGGGCACCGTCCCGGCAAGGAGGGGCGAGTGGCCGGGATGGGGCCAAGGCCAGAGGGCTCAGCCCAGGGAGGCAGCTTCTCCGAGGAAATGCTTTGCTTAACGAGTTGAAAGACAGAGTTCAGAAAAGTGTGACTTTATTTTACTTTATTTCTTAGAATATATTTTTATTGATTTCAGAGAGGAAGGGAGAGGGAGAGAGAGACGAAAACATCAATGATAAGAGAGAATCATTGATCAGCTGCCTCCTGCACGCCCCCACTGGGGATCGAGCCCACAACCTGGGCATGTGCCCTTGACTGGAATCAAACCTGGGACCCTTCAGTCCGCAGGCTGATGCTCTACAGGCCAGGGCAAGAAAAGTGTGACTTTAAACTGTGAGAGATTTTCAAGGACACTAAATTTTTTTAAATCTTATTATTTAATTAACAATCGGGAATCATGTCTTTCTAGAGTAGATAGTGGTGCCAGTTTGGCCAGAAGCGGTGACAGGGAACTGTGGGCTGAGCTTTGACAAAGATTGATGATTTTTCACTGAGCTGAGGGCTGTTCGGATGGAGCAGAGCCGGTGGCGGCGGTGGCTGGGGCCGCGCACCTGCAGCCGGCGGCCGGAAGCGGGCCGGCCAGAGTCTATTTTTGGAAGCAAGAAAACACGGTTGACACATTTATAGCTTCTGGTGCTGAGAAGTGGTTTCGGGGGTTTTGCCCACAAATCTAAACGTGTCGCTGGAGCAAAACAACACCTGTTGGCTGGGCTCTGAGATAAGGCGGAGGCGCGGGAACCGGGAGTTCCTCTTTTAGCATCTGGGTTTCGTTTCTCGGACTTCGCTTACCAGCTTCTCATTTATATTCATTTTCAAAGTAACATGTGTGAGACATGAAACCGTGTCAGGGCCGTTTCCCGGGGCCCATGTACCCGTTTTCAATCTGCTGGCCCTCCCAGTGGTCACTCACCGCGCCGGTCCGTCCCCACAGCCCGGTTTCACAGGGACTGTCGTGTTTTTTTTAAGTTAGTGTTTTCTCTCCGTGAGGAAGAGGCTCTTTGCGATTTCTGATAAAGTCGCCTTTGTTTCAAGACCGATTTCCAAGTATGCCTCTGAGGACAGACTGCAGGTGAACCGTGTGGGATTGTCCCAGCTTAGCTCAGCGAAGCCTCGTAGTCCGTGCGCTAAGAGGAAACCCATCAGGTCTCCAGGCAGAAAGGAGCCGGGCACTGGCAAGGCCTCCTTCGCACTTGAACTTGCTCCCCGTGTAGGTGGAGGGTCTGAGAGCGGCCGATCCTTGGGTAGGAGGTGCAGCCCTGGCTTCCGTCGCCAGCTGGCCGCTCTCCTGAGTCCCCAGTGACCGAGTCTGAGTCCCGAGTGAGTGAGTGAGTGAGTGAGTGAGTAGTGGAGGTGGAGGAATTGCTGCAGGACAAAGGCCTCCCCTCCCCGCCCCCCAGGACGTGCGAGTGACCGGCAGGTGTGGTGAGAGAAGCCACCGCTGCCAGGAACTCAGGGCAGTGGGTTTCACAGCTTTGCCTCCATTTGAAGGGGGATCTTGGAGCATTGGTGCCCCGTGGAGGTGGAGAGGCCTGTGTGTGACCCCTCAAGCTGCCCTGTGTGGGTCCCATTTAACTTTCCCTAGAAACCCTTCCAGGGAAAAGTGGCCAGTGCTGCCCGTGCCTTCCCGGTGCGGACGGTGTGGCTTGGACAAGCCCGCGCAT